TCATAATAAACGTGACGTTGAGTTTTATGCCATTCATGTTCAGCCCTGTGACAAAGGTTTCTTGCAGATCTGTTTGCACACATCTCCATGGAGACTTGTTCCTACCAGAAACGACCTTCACTTCAACTGGAGCAATGGAATTAATGATATCTGAAATTTTACAATGAAAGTTATCTTCTAGCACATCTATTGGGTTAAAGCGTAGAGGTGAGGCGAAAGAGTAAATGCAATAAGTTTTCAGTTTCCAGCTCTCATTCCTTACCAGAGTTACTGACCTGATTTCATAGCATACTAAGTGGGTTACACCTGAAAATTGAGATTAATAGGACATTAAACAATCTTTACAACAACAAAACCTTTATTTTATGTCAAAGAATTTTTTAAAACATCATAATGAAAACAGAAGCTTACTCTTAAGATCTAGTAATAAATTCTTTGTCGGGAAAATACATGTCATGTTGAATACTGCAAGTGTTTCTGTCCATTTGTTCGGACAAAAGGAAATGAAAACATGGGTAATATGTTTTCAAAAATTCACAAAACTTGATTAGGTGTGTTCACCACACCAGAATGTCTATTATAAATAAATTTCATCAGTAAATGACACTGATGTCATACAGGTCGTCATCACTGTGCCGTCTTCTACTGAAACATGTGACCGTCACAAGCTTTCATGTGCACACACGTTTGGAGTGAGCAGAGGAGGGTCATATGACAAGACGGCAGAGTGCAATTCCCACTCTCTCAAACAAAGCAAGCCGGTCTGATCGGTCTGAAAACATGGTGGAGGTGGAAGTCGGTCACAGTGCTGAAGCAGCGAGACGTCTTCAGTCTGCTTTAAAAGGCACTTACCGTAGTCTTAGACCGAAAGCCAATGAAGTGGCACCAGTGCAAAAATACTGAAGAAATGCAGGTTTTTAGGCCTTGACGATTTTATATATATATATATTTTTTATTTTTTTAAATTGTCTTTTATATGTATAAACACTCTTGTCCCAGAGCTGGTGAGGAGAATGATTGCAACAGCCGGTAGTAGTGCAATTAGAGTTGTAGTTAATGGAGACTCCAAAACTGTAAAATACAAAACATCATTTGGTGAATGTTCCTTCTCATTCAGAGGGCCTCACTTCTTAAACGGTTTACCTTCAACTATAAGGCAAATATTATAAATATTTAGCTGACACTTCTGGGTTTTCAGAGTTCATTACGTGACAAAACCAGCTCTGAAGCTTCATCTCCCAGAAAATTACAAGATCAACATTTTTAGATTCGTAAGCAGGGTGGTAGTGGCTCTGCTATGTTAGTTCTGATTGGTTCTTTTTTTGTTCGCAATGTCTGGTTGAGATGTTGCATGTTGGATTCTGAGGCTCTGGTTCTGGGTGCTGTGAAGCTGGAAGGATGTTTGGTCTTTATGTATTTTTATTTTTATTTTTTTACTTTCAGACAGTTATGATACATAACTATGGCAACAGGCTATTTTTGCAAGTGCAGCTGATTATCGTCTTAAGCTCAAATAGGTGAACTTTGACCCCAAATCCCAGACGACCTGATAAGGAGGCTTCATGGGTTCAGAGCAGGATGGGTGAGGATCCACTTGCTAACCAAACAGCCAGACAAGCTTTAAAGGGGAGCAGTAAAAGTAAATGAGGTGGATTAGCATAGCTTCAGATTTGTGGCATGACTGACTGGTACTGGACGTCCATCCCTCACCATCCACATCAACTTCTTGAAGGTACTTGGATGATATGAGTTAAGATGCTTAATTTCCCTTTGTGATGAAGTATCTTTTTGAAAGGAATTCTGAAGGGATCAGAAAATGTGTAGGAACAAAAATCCATCTATCAACCAACCCATGACCTACCCTAACTCTAACCCCATCTATCCACCTACAGTACATACCTACCTGAGAACTCTAAGTCTTAAAAAGAACCTACCATCTATCAGTTCATCCAGCCAACCTTTCAACTGCTTATTCATTTCATTAATTTGTCCATTAGATGTCGACTTTTGTCCATTATTTCATGTTATGCAGTCGGTGGTGTTTAAGGCCAGATCACTGCAGTAAAGTCTTTACTATGTTCAAACTGAACTTTTGTATTTATGCTTTATATAAAAGCTTCAAGTGAACAGAGATGGAACTAAACATTGAAACAAAAAAAAAACAAAAAAAAATTTGAAATTTGTGCAGGAACAATTTTGTTAACCGCAGCGACTCGGACCTGAATGAACTGAGCTCTAATCAGCCAGAAGGACTGAAAACAACTGTGTGTGTGTGTGTGTGTGTGTGTGTGTGTGTGTGTGTGTGTGGGGCCATCTGTCAGGTAGAAGTTCACCTGCACCTTTATAGAAACAACAGTCTTTGTTGCTAGGAGATCTTAAGCCCAGCTCACACTATGGCGTACACACATACACTCACACACTACCTAACATTTTCCAAAACAGAGAAAATGGAGCAAATGGAGGACGACGACTTGGCCTCAATTAAACCTGAGCACTGCTTACACTTTGAAGCAGTTTGTCCAGTTTATTCATCCTGTTTGTCTGAAAGATGTGCTCCCTTTATGTTGGCTGAAACATAAAGTGGAGATTTAATGTTGTTGACGGACACAGTTCTGAAACATCTCCCGTCTCAATTAGTTCTCCTGTAGTCAGATTTAAGCAGCTCTGCAGTCCTCACCGGTTGTTACATGACGCATATCTAATTAATTTGAGTCACTATCAGAAACAAGATATTTAATATTTAAAGTGTTATAAGTCAAATATATATATATATATATATATATATATATATATATATATATATATATATATATATTACCACAGTCCGAGCCTTATTGATGGGTCATAAAACCGTTTTGCTCTGCCTATGCAGACCGATGAATAAATGGTGAGGGTTTGTTGGGCTTCATGTTATCCAGGCCGACCGCCTGATCAGTCTGTTAATGTAACTGGGGTGTAAATGCCGAGGGCTGGCATCTGTGTGTGTGTTGGTTCCCAGGTTAATGTGGCTAAAGACCAGCATATGTCAATGCCATGAAGCTGACACGGTGATGCACAGCTTATGAGGACTTTGAGTGCTTCAGCTTCCTTCTCCTGTTCTCGGGGCTAAACATTAACATGGGTTACAGAGGTCACAGTGAGCACATGCTAGTCCTTGGCTGTTGAAGACTGGCTCCACAATTAGACTCATTTAGTTGTGGAAACTTTTTTTTTTTTTACAAATTGCTGGACCTAAAGCCTTGTTATATTTCGGTGGAGTTGATGTGGTCAGGCCTGACCCAATGCTTTGGGCTTATATTAATTTTTACCATAAATGCCAGTGGAAATATAATCTGTACAAACCAGATTATACCCTCCTTAGATTTTGCTTTATTTGGGTATGCTGTATTAATAATTTGAAAACGTGTATTTGCGGATGCAGAGTGGCAGACTGAAATCCAGTAAAACCAGAAGTTGTTTGGTATGACATGGAACTGTTTAATTTGACTTCTGCTCGCGTCACTACAAACAGCTGTACCAAGACAATCGTTTAAAATCTGTTTCAGTGAAACATTAAAAATTGAGCTTTAGAGGAGTTTACACAACATCAGCTCCTTAACTGTCATGAGGAAGCCAGACCCATTGGATAACATGTGAGCATTTAATCAAAATGAAGTATACTTGAACAATACTGCTGACGTGCCGATCAACAATACCCCAACACTGCACCGCTCAACCACACCACCATGATGACCTTTTAATTTCTTCTTGTGTTGGATTAAATAAATGGCTACCTCTATAAAAGAACCTACATTTTATCTTTAATGGATTAAGTTGTTAAAATAAAATAAAAATTGGTCCCAATCAGAATTGGTAGATAAGATCTTTAGGAAACTGAAATTAGTCAGCAAAAGGCTCTGCATCTTTATAGTAGGCATTAAAAAAAATAGACAACTTATTAATCTTTTAGAGTTCAGTGTTTTGGTGGTCTTGGCAGTGATTTTGGGCTGGAGGTCAGCCTGTGGAGTTGTTGCAGAATCTCTTTCTAAGCTGTTTTCCATTCAGTGAGCCTAATAACGCAGAACATGCACCTCTCACTTCTCATGCTTGGAGAGGAGGGATCCTCTGTTGTAGTGAAGCTGTTTCTGATGCTGCATGAAGCTGTTGGTTTCTGAATTCTGGATCTGTCTCTGTTCCAGAGCAGGAACCTGGACATGTGCTGTGTCAGCGGAACAGGTGCTAGCTCTGCAGGTTGTGACATGCGGGTTCTCTCTGTTTGCAGCTCTCCGGTGGGTGCGAGCTGACCGTGGTCCTCCAGGACTTCACAGCAGGATGCAGCACAGAACTGTCCATCAGCACAGGTGAGACCCGCTCCCACCTTCCTCCTAGGCATCGGTTTCTAATGACGTTAAAGTGAGACGACCATCTCTCTTGTGTCCACTGCAGGCCAGACTGTAGAGCTGTTGGAGCGGCCCACGGAGCGGCCCGGCTGGTGTCTGGTCCGGACCACCGAGCGCAGCCCGCCTCAGGAGGGGCTGGTCCCCAGCTCGGCTCTCTGCGTCTCTCACTCTCGGTCCAGTGTTGAGATGGACTGCTTCTTCGGCTCAGGGAAAGGTAGGAACTGTTCCTCACCATTTATCAGGAGAGTCCTGCTCACGGTCTGCTAGCAGCGATGCTCAGAATGTGCAAAGCACCATGCAGCAACCTGATATGCATTATGTCAAATATATTTTAGAGACAAAATCGTTGCATAAAAATGATCCAATTTATATGAACTACTACCTTCAGTTTGTCTTTTGGACAATCGGCATTGAAGAACTGAGCTGTATTTTCTCCTGCCTTAAATTCATAAATTTTGTAGGACTTAAAGGGTCTGCTTCTGACATCTTATTACTGGGGAGTGAACATTGTCTATCTACCACAATAGTTTCTATGGTTACCACTGTACTCTGGTGAAACGTGAGATCTGAGTTTTTTCTTCGGTCCTTCCTGTTGGCTGTATTTGTCCTGCAGATGGTGCTGTTGAGCCGTGTTGAATCCCACCATTACATGTTCCATTTAGAAGGCAGGGAAGCATCAGGACACGCAGCATCGGTTTCCTCCTGCATCAATCAATCAAGTTGATTTGTATAGCACATTTTAGCAATAAGGCAGTTCAAAGTGTTTCGTCTTAAACACAAAAGTAAAAGGTCATAAACACTAATTGAGAAACCAGAAACAAACATTACATTTTGTCAAGAGCAATCTTCAAAATCATTAACACACATTAAATATGTTGGTTAGTGTTTCATGTATTATGGTCCAAAATCAACTCTGAACAGGTGGGTTTTAGTCTTGATTTAATGAAAATCAGTGTTTCAGCTTTTTTTGCAGTTTTCTGAAAGCTTATCCCAGATTTATGATGAAGCTGAACGCTGGTTCTCCATGTTTGGTTCTGGGGATGCAGAGCAGAACCAGAACCAGGAGACCCGATTGGTCTGGAAGGTTGATACAACTCCAGCAGATCTTTAATGTATTGTGGTGCTAAGCCGTTCACTGATTCATAAACTAACAGTATCTTAAAGTCTGTTCTGAGTGTAGGGACTTTAGAACTGGGTGATGTCCTCCACCTTCCTGGTTTTAGTGAGAACAAAAGCAGCAGCAGCATTCTGGATCAGCTGCAGTTCACTGAATTATGTTTTTAGGCGGACCTGAGAAGACACTGCTGTAGTGATCATTGCAACCAAAGATGAATGCATGGGTGAGTTTCTCTAGATCTTACTGAGGCATTAGTCCTTTAGTCACAGAAATGTTCTTCAGGTGACGGAAAGCTGACTTTGTCATACTGGCTGTGCTTTACAGAACCAAGGTAAGGTTGTTGATGAAACTGACTGCTCCGTCCTCAGCTGCAGTGATCAGGTTCATCTCTCGTCTTATCAGGACTTTGAACCAAGCTGCTCTAAACATTCTCACTGCCAGGCCCAGTTGTTTTTGTGGTTTAACAGGCCTTGCTTTAGATGGGTTATGGGTTTAACAGGTCAATATTTGACATTGCAGGAGACGAAAACCTCTGACACCAACACACACACGGTAAGATCAACTGACTTACCTGCCACAGTCATATTGTTTCTTGCTGTTGTCAATGACGTGGTTACCTTGTGTCAGTGGAGTTGCAGGTGGAATAACAGCAGCCATTATGCTTAGAAAAGCTCACACACACTCTAAAAGTGTTGAGATGTCTTGTATTTGACCTCTGTGTTTACAACCATTCCATGACTAACTGCATTGTAACACTTCAGTAACTTATCCTAAAAACCCAAACCAAAACTCTTCTTTAAGCTCAGACGTGTGTGTGTCTGTGTGTGTGTAGCTGGGCAGCAGGTGTCTTGTGACTGCTTCATAAAATAGGTCTCCTTGTCCTCTCTGAAAGACTGTAAAACTCTAAAGTGAAGTGAAAGAATGAGACGGATTAAAAGGCATGTCTTTAATCCTCGCTCTTCACATCCTCAGGCTGAAAAGCTTCCTTTTCTTTTAGCAGCTTTTCCACTAGTGGAAAATCTGAAAATGTTTAAAATCTACAAAACATTCTGCCTGCATTTATAACGGGAGCAAGAATAAAGCCGGATGCAATACAGCTGCACTTGTTTGTGACGGTAGGGTTGGATTAGCCAAACTGGCTGACGGATGAAGTCAGGGTGGTTTGTAACTGTTGGCGTTGTTTGCCTGTCTGAGTTTCTGCCTCTCTTGCCTTAGTCATGAGACTGCGGTAAGGGAAGCTGCAGTCCAAGCTTTCACACCTAACGTCTGCCGCTTCCTGCTGGGGAGCGTCATCAGAAGTGGAAGGTGAATAAAATGGGACACTGCAGTGAAACGGTGCTGCTGAAACTCTTTATCTAGGCTATGTCCTCGCGCGTTTCCTGATTCTGCTGCAGCAGAGCTCATCGGGATCTGTTGCCCCTGCTGGAGGACCAGCAGCTAGGCTGAAAACAGTCATCAAGTCTGCTGTAATCCAATACTCTCTGGTGCACAGGAACCCAGAGCTGGGCAATTGGATACACTTTTATTGAAGAGGGAAAAAGTTGGTGAATTTAAAGAATGAATTCAGTGTGCTTGTCATGGCAGGTTGTCGTTCCTTCTGATCCTGGATCTGCTGGAGGTGCTCTCTGTTAACAGTTGTTTTTCTGCACCGTCTCTCCATGTTTAGTCTGGACGGAGAAAGTGATAATTCAGCCTTCTGGTATCATCATTGACACTCCCTTTATATTGTTTTATTGTCCTTAAAGAGGTTGTACTTTGATTTTATATCAGACAATAACTCCTTGTTGGAATGAAAATTATTATAAATCTAAATCTGCTGGCATCATTATTTATGTTGGACCTAACTGTAAATGACTTTTAACCTGACTGACTTTATTGGATTGAAATAAATCTGAATATACATTTGCATTAAATTTGTTTCTGTATAAGAGAAGCTCTTTACTCTTCAGGGTTGCTTTGTGAACCTGATGTTGGGGATTTGCATAAAATGTGACTTTGTTGCGGTCTTCTGTCCACGGCTTTCCGTGTGCACCGGGGTGTTTTGCAGCAGAATGTAAACCTTAAAAAGGTTGCACCGGTGCCTCAGGGTTTTGAGCGACTCTCTGCTCAAAGTGGAAAAGCTAAACTGTCCGTGTGTCTTGTTCACGAGTTTTGGCAGGACGGAGCAGGAGACAGATTGGGGCTTTGTCTGCTGTAATACTGGCTTTGCCCAAGCCTGATGTGGCGATGAGCAATCTGATTCAGAAAGCAAAGCTCTTGATTTTTATAGTCACGAGGCATGGGTCATGAGCACATAAACAAGGTTTTGGATACGAGCGACTAAAATAAGCTTCATCTGTTGGTTAGTTGTTCTCCTTGTTAGAGATGGGTGTGAAACTTGAAGTAGAACTGCTGTCTCTCTGCATCAAAAGGGCTCTGCCAGAGGCTCATAGACCCACAATTCACTGGAGAAACCACCTATCCGCTTTAGCTCGGAAGTACCTTAACATTCCCCCAGACTTGGCCGAAGAGGGTCAAATTGGGTCTGAGCTTTATTAATGAACCTGTTGAGCTCAGGCCCATGAATGGACAAAACTATTGACAAATTGAACTCATTTTGTCATATTTCCTATTATAAATTGGTGTCAAGTAGATAAACTGAATTTTAAAAAGTTCTTAATTGACATTATGATGAACTAGTTAGACATGGAAAAACATGTCTATTCCCCTTTATTGTGACTACAGGGGTAACGGTAAGTTGTCTGAACTTGAATAGCTCTTTATCATGTCCAGAGGACTCCAAAGCACTTCACACTACAGACATTCATACACTGATGGTGGCAAGCTACTAGATCATAGCCACAGCTGCCCTGGGGCAGTCTGACAGAAGAGAGGCTGCCATGCAGCGGCGCCACCTGTTGGGCCTTCTGACCACCAGCAGACCATGCTATCTTAGTTTTAATTAAAAATGTGTGCAAATATTCTGCTAATGTTTGGGGGGGAAAAAAATCACAATTGCTTTGTTTCCAGTAAATATAAAATGTAATTAAAATCAGACATGAATAAGCTTTTTCACACAATAAATCATTAAAAATTATCTCGGTGATGGATGGAAACATTTGCATGAGATGTATTCTTAATTGAGCCATGGTGCTAGCTCTCATCATCATTGGAACAGCTCACTGAGGAAGCAGATTCCAGTCAAATATTCAAAATCATTTAAACTTATTCATGGACATGATAGAATTTCTGGAGAAAATCATGAGTCGCCCACAGTTTATTGGCGTTCCTCAGGGTGGAGCAGATGTGCATATTGTGTCGACATTTTTACTAAAAGGCGTATTTGTTGTCTGAATGTGTACTCGGCACATTTCTGATACCTTATCTGATTAGACACAAATTAATGATTTACAACTGTGATAAAGTTCTTCAACAATATATTGTAGACTTTGAACATCCACCCCTGCATTAGGACAGACATTAACAGGTGGCTGTAGTTTTGAGGTTTGTCTTTTCAAGGTGTTAGAAAAATCTACTTGATTCCCAAAGCCTTTGTTTTAAAGTAAAAACAGAAATATATGCTAGCGTTTATTAATTTGTTTATAAACAAATTAGCTGAAGTAGAACGACAGGTTTTCTTACTTGAGTTCAACAGAATTGTATTTACATAAAAAAAAATCTATACATCTACCTCTACCAAAACAAAGATATTTACAATTTACCTTTGCACAAACTATTATTTCTAGATTATGTAAAATTATACATAAAACGATACATCCACTTTTGACGCCCAAGCCAAGTGTTCGTCTATTACCAACACAAGAGTTCTAGCCCCAACATTAGCTGCCTACAGTCTGAGTAGGCAGTTAGTAGGCTAGCTGTAGGTTAGTGGAGCCATGGCTGTAAATAATGTATGTATGCAGAGAGCAAAGAGTAAGGTTTATCAAGATGTCCTCTAGTAAATACTTTTGGGTTAAAAATATGGGTAAAAATATGGCATGGATTTAGTGCCACAAGTAAGACTTGCACACGCAATGGTGGCTACTTCCTCATCGCAGGATGTTAATCCATTCCAAAACCAGCTACTGATCATTTGTCAACTGGCATTCACACTTGCA